ATATATATATATATATATATATATATATATATATATATATATACACAACCTACCTCTGTTGCTCTCCACAGTGTAACTCCTACCCACTTGAATATCTTGCGCCAAAAACATTTAGGTTTACTTGAATTTTCTGCTCAATTCCTGCCCAGAAAACCACATCTTGAAAATGACAAACATTCACTGTTCAAATCCTTCAAATGAAATCCCTTTGAATGAGAAACTTGGTTTGTTTGGTTACTCCTTCTGAATTCTTCAGAACTAAAAGTTTACTGTTTTGGCTGAATTTCCTCTTTGGCTCGTCCGTGCACAGATTTGTCCCAGCTGGCTGCAACAGTGTGTCATACATAAAGCCCTGCAGTTGAAAGTCTGCATCTCAAACAAACGGTCTGTCTCTTCAGCTTCTTCGGCCTCAAAGTGTTTTCTTTTCATTTCATCTTATCTGTAATTGAGTGCTCACAAGTTTATTGCTGTACTTTTAAATAAACATCAAATTTATTTGTAATCTGATTCCTGATTTCACTTGTGTTCAATCATGTTTTCACACATAAAAACACACACACACACACACACAGAGTTTGGAGTCGGTACTCACCGTGAGCAGGTTGAGCAGGTCTGTGTTTGCGTCTATGCTCGGAGGTGTGTTCTGGATGAGTGCTAGCTCCTGAAGGATGGCGTACAGCTGCTGAGTTTTTGCCAGGTTCACTCGTGTCTTCTCTTTGTCAGCCCAGTCCGGCAGTGCCACGTGCACAGCGATCAGGTCCTTCAGATGCACTCCGAGAATAGGGAACCTAAAGCCCAAGCACTCGGAGAAGCGTTTGCGGTACTGGCTGTAGTTTCCACACGAGGTCACCAGCTCGATTAGGTTGTTAAAAACCTGTAGAAAAGATGGAGAGGAGTTAAGATGGATACACTGGGAGATGAACAACTGTTGAAGTATGCTGTAGAAGCTAAAACTGAGTTGTAAAAGTTAACTCATTGAGGCTAACCTTTATAAATAAAATCTGAATGAAAAAGAAAAAAAGCAGAAAAGAGGCTAAAATCAGAAGAGCACAGTCCAAATTTATTGCTGCAGAAGAAAAGAGGCTAAAAGCAACAAAACTGTAGATAGAATTGGCTAAACTAATCATGAAAATAACAAACCATAGATTATTGTTCTATAATTGCACCGCTCAAGGTGGCTGCATGTTGGAACAGCTCTGTTACTTTCATTCTGAGATTTTGCTTTTGGAAACTGCAATTCCTCTTTTTCTGGATGCAAATCACATTTTTTGGATGATTGTTTCCTCTGGTGTCAGATGCTGTGCAGCTGGAAGGATTTTTACTGAAACTTTTTTTAGTTTTGGACATTTGTTATGATGCATAACCATGGCAACAAGGCTGTTTTCTACGACCAACAGCAGCTGATTAACATCTCAAAAGCTCAAATAATATCTCAACTACAGCCCCAATGTCAAATGAGTTGAAAGGATGTTCTATGGATGCATTCTCATCTACCTGCCAGCTGTGCTCGAGTGCTTGACCACTGAGATCCTGGAACTAGCAGGAAACACGGCTCATGACAGTGGAAGGACAGAATCGTCCCTCAGCACCTACATTCGGCTGTCTGCAACGACAAGGAGCTCGGCAGACTGCTGGGAGGAGTGGCCATCGCTCTGGGAGGAGTTCTGCCCGGCATTTGGGCTGTACTACAGCCCAGGAGAATCAAGAGGCCAGCCAAGTCTGGGTGGACGGATTGGGCGCATCTGCAGCCAGTGACTGGACCTTTACAAGAGATCCTTCCTGCCTACAGCCATCAGCATCTATAGCATCTCTTAATGAAATGAGGATAACAAGTTACAAAAACAAATCATTTCCCTTTGGGATTAATAAAGTATTTTTGAATTGAATTGAATTATAGAAGCAAAATAGGTGCTTAAGCTAAAAGTAGCCAAATAGTAGCTACAACAAAAAGAAACAAAGAATTAGCTAAAAGCAGCAAAATAGTAGCTGCAAACTAAAAGTGGCAATACTATAGCTAGCAGTGATGGAACAAGAGCTAAAAGCTAAAAGTATTATAAGAAGAACTCAAATAATCAAGCAGAACATATTGACATGCTGTAGAAATGGTTACAAGCGGTACGCTGATGTCCCGTCGCTGAGGGATTTGAATAGTGAATGTTTAAAGTTTTCAAGATGAGTGTTTTTCTGGACTGGAACTAAACAGTGCATGTAAGTAAATCTTAATATTTTGGTGAAATATATTCAAGATTTAGGAGTTTGGGTATAAGAACAGAGGCAAGGTTTGTTTGTTTTTTGATTGTCCACGGCAGCACAGTCACGGGTCCTGGTGAATGGAGGGGGCAATTAAGGTGAAACACCCACACCTACCTCAACCCTCATTCACCCCACTCTGGGCCCCTGAGTAAGGCCCTTAACCCCCACCATCTGCTCCATAAACGGGTTATATAT